CAAATCACCTTTCTTCCCCATACTGATGCTCGCTTTGAACTGCAGGAGATTGTCTTGACCATGTCTACATGCCTAAATGCACCGAGTTGCCGCCATGTGATTGGCTGCTTAGAAATTAAGTGTTAACGAGCAGTTGTACCTAATATAGTGGCCGGTGAGTGTATATACAGTATATTAACATAAATATGGTGCAAGTGTACATGTATTGCACACAATGAAAAACAAAATAAAAATAAGAAATAAAAAATAAAAATACGAGGTAGTAGCACAGAGCTTTGAGGTGACATATGTACAATCCGGATGGCTTATATTCAGGTGGATTTACTTTTATGTTAAAGTGTAGTAGGTGAGGAGCAACGGTGAGGTAGTGGTGTGACTATTCTATTCACATATATTGCACATTCAGCATATTGCACAGTCAATAAATAACAAACTCTAATATAGCTGCACAGTGGTTTTTACAGGAGTTATTGTGGTTATAGTGCATTATTATAGAGTCTGGTGAAAATGTCAATTTTTTTGTTCCATTGGCAAAATGCCTCTTTTACCTCCTCAATCTAAGAACCAAGGCACTTATTTTAAGAAAAAAATGACATCTTTTGATTTTTTCCCCAAAGTATTTACAAATGTCTTTACTTGAGAATTTAGTGTAATTCAATTGGTTTAACAATAAGATTAATGTTGAACACTAACCTTAAATATGTAAATACCTACATATTCAGTACTATAGTGCAACGATGCAGTCCGAACATGATCATGAGTCCAACCCTGCAGATTCTGCTCTGAAAACACTCCTCTGGTAATATAGTGGCTGAGAGACGCCGAGGCAATGCTGCTCCGCTGCTATTATGCACGGCTTTCAGATGCAGTGGAACCAAAGCGTTAGACCCTAAATTCCACATTCTCTGTTTTTGCTCCCCTATGTACACACACCATCTGATCAATGGAACAACCACATTGTTATGTCCTTTACCATCAAAATATGGAGCAACTCTAGTTTCCTGTACCTTTCGCACATGCCCGCTTAGA